TGGGCTCAGGAGAGCTGTGCACCGAGTAAGCTGGAACTAGAAGACCTTAGTGGTCTGGGAGATTGATACACTGACAACAAATCTTTTATGTATAGAGGTGCTGATCCATTCAGTCATTTAAAGACTAACAGAAGGATCTTAAAATCTACATTCTAAGCTAAAAGGAGTCACTGTAAGGACTTCAGAACTGGGCTGATGTGCTGTACTTTCTTTGTTGCAGGCAGCAGTTTTGGATCAATTGCAGCTGTCAGATGTTTTTTTTAGGCAAACCTGAAGACACTGTTGCAGTAATCAATTCTACTAAAGATAAATGGATGAATTAGTTTTTCTAGCCCAACATATGTCACCAATTGTTAGTTGGCTGTTTAACATGTTGAACAGCAAACAGAGTTCTTTTGCACCTCTGTCTTCAAGGTTGTCAACATGTACATTAAGGTCCCCAACAATAATTAATTAGACATTTTCAACACATATCTCATATAAAGGTTCATTGAAATTATTGAAGAAGTTTGTTTTGTTCATTTTAGGCCTCTAAACATTCATAACATGGCTTGAAAAGGGCCCTGTACTTGGACAGCCAGATATATTTCTAGGGTTCTGGTTGGAGGATCCAACAGTGAAGTTTTGAAGGGCATAATGCAGATTGCAGGATCCAATAGTTGGATTAGGGAAGAGCAAGAAGGGGGTTTCAACTGTTAAACTCTATAGGGCAACCTTTTGGCTTCTATTGCTAGCAAAGAGGCAGTTAAACACGGCCAAAAGGTGCCAATATGTTGAACAGTGGCAACAAGAAAATGGCTAGATCCATCCATAGATTTATGAGGGTAGAGCAGATGATCCACCTCTGGAAAAGAAGTGAAAGGTTCCTGCACCAAATGTACTATTCTGAAGACACAGTTACTGCCTTGGGAATAATGACACAAAGAAAAGTGTTGCTTTTTCATATAAAATCCCAGTAATAATAGACTCTAATTGCAACAACATATAGTGGAAATGTAGTAAGTAGGTGCACAGCAAATATTTCATTGTACTCTGCTTCAAACAAAGTATTATTTATGCTATGCAATGTTAGTGACGAGCTGGTAAAACGAAATATTTGATAGCGACCATTCCACCATTATAATCCACTACTTGTTCATCCTTACTTAGTTGATTTTAGGACAAACAAGTGAAGATTATCCCTGTACCAGCTGGTTGTACTTACCAAACCGATGCATGGGACTGTCACAGAAGAGATGCTGAAGTAAGAATGTCTGTGGTGTCAATGTTTTCAATTTTTTCAATAACAGATGAGCGAACAGCTATGACCATAGACAAACAGAGGGAGCAAACTACACAGTGTCTGTAAGCAGGTTAGGGAAAAAAATATCAGTATCTGCAATGATCCAGTTGTGTTTTACAATATCGGCATATCAGATATTGACCAAAATCCCAATATCATGCATTATATCTAGATATGAAGCTTAAGCAAGTCGAGCTTTTATCCTGCTGTCATCCATGTGTTGCTGAACCTCTGGGATTACAAGTGCAACACTAAAATTCAGTGTTGAACATATATCCTTCACAGGAGGTGTGTGTGGCATGCTATTAAGATGGACAGTGCATGGTTAGCTGTGAGGGGATCAGAAGAATACAATGATCCCTAAACACTCTTATCGCCATTTATCTCCTCTGGACCTCACTGAATCCAACACCTCGAATCTCTATTGTCGACCTCTCATTCATTCATCACTGTGATGCATCGGCAGTTTGCAGTAGGCCTCTGAACACCTGGTTTCATGGATGGTTTCGTCTACACCAGCTGCTCGCCTCCTGCTGTGGCCCAACATCTCATGATGATGCTCCTAAGACTGTCTGTTATGCTCACTGATTGAACGTCTAGCTCCGGCGGTGTTTTTCAACCCAGGTCTCATTTCACTCAGCCGAGGCTTCTTTTCGTGTGGCTCTTAAAGATGCCACTCCGATCCCCTATTAATCATAGCCCTGTTTTCTAAGTTGTTCTCTCTACTGCTGGTGCTAACACAGATTTAATGTGATTCTATCTCTGATTGTCAAACTACAAATGATAAAACAAACGATGATGTGCGATGTTGTAGCAGTCGTTGGATCATAAGGAGAGGCTTTGTTTTTAATTATCTTTAAATCTAGTGTTTCTCGTGTTAAAAGAAAAGCACCCTTGGATTTTAAACGTGCTTGTAGGTTATGACCTTTCTCTGCTGCAGCGCGGTCATTAGAATCCAGCACATGACTGCTGTCCCCGGCTCGTTGTTCTTTGAAGTTATCAACCGAGAAATATTCCAGCTCATTGCAGAGCCCTCGGCTCCTGAGGCCGGCGATGACACACATGCTGAACAGAAGTACCCAGACCACCCGGGCTTTAGGAGCCCTGACTTTGATGGGGCGAACTGAGAAAAATAACAACACAAGGGGAGAAAGAATGCCTTCTGTGTTACACAAGGGGTCATGCTGCTGCCCCATCACAGTAAGTACATTTTTCACAAACGCCTGGTGATTTAAAAAAACAAGGTTGTTTATTTAAGGAGGAAAAGAGAACCAAATCTCAAAGTGTATCAGGTGTTTTTTTTTTTTTTTTTGAGTAAATTCTAGACATATTTTGTTGATCAAGTTAAGAGAGACTCACTTTCAGAAGATGACTCATTAGGAGCAGGAATAAAAATTCCCTTTAATCCATTGATCTGAAACATGGTTTTAGAAAAGCAATGATATCATTCTGTCCATTCCGATCTCAAAGCAAAACAAAAAAAAAGTGCTAATGCCTTCACTCTGTATCAAAATTCTTGAGAAATGATGATAGATTTACGGCAACTTCTTTCAGTTTTCAGCTATTTCAGGTATCTGTTAAACAGATTGTTGCATTGACTTCTGGGAAGACAGATGGTGCTGTGCATGCTTCAGGACAACTAAAGGAATGAAGGATTCTTCAGCTCAGTAGATCAAATTTGCTATAGGCCTTGGCTACATTTTTTACTGCGCGTAGGCGTATAGACTCACAAACATTTTTTTTATCAGCTTTGTTTCTCTCTGGCTATAGTTAAAAGTAGATGAAATACCACAATGAGAAATAAATACCGGTACTGTCAACATCCTGGCAAATTATAGTGCTTTTATTATCTCTTCAGTTATTTCATTATTAAGGCTATATTCTTTGAAATACTAAGTTTAATTAGCAGAAATATGGTGCAAGGATTAACTTTCAATATGGCTATTTGTGCTTTTATTAATTGCTAAAGTTCTATTTTGGCTTCCCTGGTTTATTCATCCAGCTCACCCATTATCAGCATTTGCAAGCCATGCAGCTCATGTGCACTGCCCTGCAGCCTTTGGCCTTCTAGGCGATCATTATTTTCCATGATTGACACTATGGGATGGTGTGCATTTCATTGATGAGAATTTTAGAGCCCTACAGCTTGTGATCCTTTAGCCATCAATGGTACGTCACCCTAAAGCTATCTGAAAGGGGGCAAGGTTGCAGATCACTTTCAAGTACTCTGTCACTTTCATCACCAGAACCCAACAAAACGTACCAGCCATCCCAAGAGTCCACAGACGCTGACCCAGACGAGCAACAAGCTACAGGTAAAGATACCTATCTAACAGAATATTTCACTCTTATAGGTTCAAAGCTATTCAACCTGAATGTCTTAGATCCACTTTGCTCTCAGCAATCAGAAGATTTTTCCCTCTTGTAAATCAGAAGTTTGCTCTTTCAAATGTAATCCACAGTAATTAAGATAGCTAGAGGTATATGTGAGGATTGTTTTCTACTAACTTAGTGGATCATATTTAAAGTGCAACATAGTGTTAACAGTAGTTTGATTTGCCTGCAATTTGTTAATTCAGTATTAGTTTTATAAGGTAGTTTGCAGATTATATATTTTCATTTATACATCCCAGCTGGCACTCATCGTTATCTCTTTCAGGATCAGAGGTAAAATCTGATTACAGTATTGACACTGTAAGATGTGTTTAATAAATTAAATAAGCTGTTACCTTAGATAGCCTATCTAAAAGCAAATTCTGGGTTTATTGCCAGTTGATCCTTACTTCAACCGTAAAGTCAATCAAATGTTCCTAAAGATATAACACAGAAACTTTGTTGTGTTAGATACAGCCATCCTGTTATCTCGTGAAAATATTTACTGCAAAAACAATCTAGAAATAAGTAAAAATGTCTTAAATTAGGTGTATTTACCCTTAATTTGAGTGAGTAAATAAGATGATCTGCCAATGGAATGAGCATTTTTACTCTTAAAATAAGATAATTAGATAAAATGCACTGGAAATAACACAATGCAATTGTTTCTTTCTTATCTTAAATGTATATTGTCTTGTTCCATTGGCAAAGTTTCTGACTTACCTCCTAAATTCAAGAACAAATGCACTTATTTTAAGGAAAATTGACATATTTAGATTTAGATTTTTTCCACTCTTCCACAGCCTTGATGAACAGCTTTCCTTTACACCCCACTGACTCTGTTATTAGAATAGTTATGTTTGATTTTCCCCCATTAGTTACAGCATTAATGTTTAACAGTGAAATAGGTGATTTGGAGAATCAATGCACTAAGGATTAATGAACAGTTATTATCAGACAATAGCTACATGAGAACATGGATGCTGTCAGAACCATTTTCCATCTAGGGAGCAGGATCCATACGGTTCTTTTAAATGCTCAAGGAGTGTGCTACAGTGACCTCTGAGATAAACACTGTGCAAAGAGGGCATGCTTTTATTTTGACCCTGCAGACATTTAGTTCTTTGAAGAAAATAAATCTGACAATTGCTGAAGGTGGCAAGAAGGCCTCATTTCTAAGCAATGGTCAGCTGTTAAAATGCTCTTTCGTGGGTGTGTGCAAAAAGAAATGTTTGCTATCTATTTTCCTCTCTTCTGACTGTTCAGTACCTCCCCCACTGGGCTGTGTCATCAGCATCATTGGGCTTGGCAAGAGCTTCAATAGAAAATGGGAGGTGATGTAGTCCAAATGGTGACTCTATAAAGCTCATAACTGATTCACAGACTTCATCGATAATTTGCCAAGGAACGCCATCCTTACCTCCTTCCTGGTCAACTAAAGCTGAGCCTTTATCTGATTCTGACTTTTCTGATTCTTTCCTCAGCAGCAGTCATCACATGAAGCCCTTCGCCAACCTTTAAAGCTGTTACACTTTCAAAGGTAAATGCATTTACGGCTTTCCAAACAAAAAGGGTCACATTAAGTACATGCATAAGTATGTGCTTAATTAATCTGTTGCTTTGCATGCCTCTCTTCTCTATATTCTCTAAGACATGAAGATACTTGGACATGTGACCTTCTTCCTTTTGCTGGTGGGAATCTGGGCTCAGAACAACCGTAATGCAAAAGCAAGTGGGAGATCTACAAAGAGAGGAGGTGGGGCCCATGCAGGTAGGGCTGCACAGTCCACCCCAGCAGCTGATTCTTCTCAAGGCAGTGGCAGAAGCTCTGGGAGACCAGCTGAAACACGGCAGGACAGCTCTGTTGGAACCCGTGCAGCTGGTCAACAGACAGATGAGATGAGGCTGCAGTTCCTCAGGAATGCTCAGGTGACATGCAACGATGGTTCTGCAGCTGGGTGAGACAGTTTGGATTTTCAACAGATATGTATTTGTGGCTGCACGGTAGTCGGCGCGGCTTTGTCTTCATCATTTCCCTTTCGGTATTTAGTTTCTACCTAAAGGAGTACAGAGGAAGCCGCAGATGGCTGTTATTTCTGGAAGGTTAGTATTTACAAACTGGTTAAATTGGTCCCCTTAGGTCAGATGCTTTTGGCATGGTGACCCCTTTGGAATTTTGACAGCGATGTCATCTTTTTATGTCATCATCTGCTTTTCACCTTTTTTGGTTGCTTCAACTTTTTTAATCAAACAAAGATAAAGGAAATCTGTGGAAACCGTCTAAGCTGACTGAAAAGTCACAGTACAGCATTTAACCTGCAGAAATATCTAAGCCAATGCATTTATTAAATATGTTTCATTAACACACAAGAATGGATACATATTTATGACAAAAACATTTACCTGGTTGGAGTTGCTTTTATGTCCGGCAGAGGCCTGATGAGCCAAGCAGGGTGTTCCCCTCACATCTTTGGCTCTAATATTAGGCTTGTTTATTTTTAGGTGGCTGGTGCTGCTACAGCAAAGAGACCTGTGATTCCAGGTACCAAAATATCCCCCGACTAATGAGCTCATCGGGGTGGCCCCAAACTAAAAGAGGTTGGTCATCTATCCAGAATTTGGCGTGCATGCTCAACATGTTTTGTTTTTTTTTTTCTTTTAAGGAAGAGGTTTATTTACTATTGGGATATTTTTACAGGGACTGGGATATTGTCATCTCTGGCAGAAGAAAACCCACACTGGCACAATGCAAACCTTGTGTAAGTACTTGGATCAGTGTCTCAGTTTCCTGACAAGAGAAACATTTTTAAATACACTTAAGTAAAGCACCTAATCTAAATATTCTCACACACTTAATGAAAACAAAGGTAAAAGAGGTGGAAGAAAGAAACAGCAGTAGTTTTTTTTTTTTTTTCCATTAAAGTTAAAATGAATTTAAATCCTTTAATTGGTTTGCCCATTCATGGTTTATTTCCTTTCCCTGAAATCATTTAAGACTCTCCGCGGCCATATGTTTGGGCTCATTATTTACCTTGTGTCCCATATTTATCAACATTTTTTCTATCATCCTTTATTTATGAGGTCTGCCTTTACAAGTGCTGAAAAACGGCCTCAGATCCTAATGCCCTCCACCTTAAAAACACCACTGTTACCATAGCTGTGTTTAGGATGGTATGTAATTTCTCTCCTAAACAATGGTAAATGTAAGAACGGAAGAGTACAGTTTTTCTTCATCCTAATAAACTATATTTCCATATTGACTTGTGCAAATTAAAATGTTGGCAGCAAACTTGGAAGAAAAAAGATTAAAGTAGTGGCCTAGTGGTTAGGGCATAGAGCTTGGAATCCTGAGGCTCTGAGTGTGAGCCCCACTCCCACAGACTGTCACTCTGGGTCTCTGAGGAAGACCCTTAACCCCACACTGCTCCCCCAGCGCTCCATGATGGCAGCCCACTGCTCCCCCACAAGGGGATGGGTCAAATGCAGAGGTAAATTTCTCCAATGTGAAGTCAATAAAGTTCAAATTATTAACACACTTTATCTTCAGCAGTGGAGTCGTGTGTGGTGAGTGTTTATTGTAGCTGAGCTGTTTTCACTGGGAGGACTGCTCACTGCTTGAAATGTAATAACTCTACCAGCTAACTAGGTTCTCTGTGGCTGGTCCTTTACTCTTTGCTGCAACAGTCCTCATCGGAACGTCCAGAGGTTCAAAAATACCTATTCCATTGGAATGTTTTGAAACAATAAGGTTTAAAAGAGCTTAAGAGAGCTGATCATGACATGGTTTTTATGTGATAGCTTGATACTAAGGAAAATGTATGTAGACCATCAGTAAGAAACAGCCTTATTATGTAAAATTGCCCTGATAGGGCAAAGGAATGCTTTATCAGTGCTCATCAATTTCAGCTATCCCTTTCTATAGCTTACGACCGTTTTTCTTCATGTCTAAAATACTTACTCTTCTCTTGATAAGATTTAATCTTATCAAGTGCTTTTGTTTTATGCTAAAACATGTTTTTTTCAGCCTTTGAGAGAGCTATAAATATGTAGAAACATTCAAGGAGAACATCAAAGTCTGGAAGTGGTTGGTGTTGTGTAAGTAAAGCCTTCATTTGTATGGGTCTCATATATTGCAGATTCATCCCATACTGTTCCAGTGATGTATGGAGCGGCACTGGCCCCGCCGCAACCCCCCCACCAAGAACAAGACAGGGAAAAGACAAAGTCAAAGAAACAAATAGGAATGCAAGTAAGTCTCCTCAGAATTGTGTGCTTTATAATGGATAATGATTGTTTGTTGTTGTTACAATGTTTGCTCTTTGCCATTTCTACATATTTCCTCAGCTGAGTACTCTTTCATGGGATCCCTTATTATCCGGGAGGTCATCAAAGATCTCATCCCCAAAGGAATCAAGCAGGCCAAGGTTGTCGTGCTAGCTGGCACCAGGTGAGTGGGTTTTAATGTCTGTGTGCTACTGATGACTGCAGCTTTTGGACACCAGCCCCATAGATGTTCTCCATTCCTAACTTAAAGCACGAGTAGGAATATTTTGGCTAGATGTTTATAGTCATCTGTGATCAGTGACTCAATGTTTATTAAAGGGGCTTTGCCCTGTGATGGTAAAAATTCCTCCCTGGTTAGCAGGATGGTTGCTGGGACATCACCCCTACGCCCTAAAATGAGAGCCGCTGTGAGTGGTTATCAAACTCAAGGCCAGATTACTGACTAACTTCCTTGGCTCCTTTGCAGTGCTGGTGCAACAGGTGTTTTACTCAACATAGAGAGGGTTGCCAGCCAGTTGCAGCGTCTAGGAACTGAGGCGCAGGTGCGAGGCCTGGTGGATTCTGGCTGGTTTCTGGAGAGTAAGCAGCAACGCTCCCCAAACTGCCCCGAGACGATTTCCTGCACGCCTGAAGATGCTATCAAGATAGGACTTAGGTAAATCCCTAAACACTTCCGGCTGCCTGTAATCGTCCATAGACAGACGCAGTTACTAAAATTCACATTCCACTCGTTACTACAGTATTTTAAAAAAGTATCTTGTGTCTTCAGGTTGTGGAATGGGGTGGTTCCAGATAGGTGCCGCCAGCTTTACAAGAGAGGGGAGGAGTGGCAATGCTTCTTTGGTCACAAACTCTACTCCACTTTGACTTGTGAGTGCTGACCGGTTCCTGATGGATGCTGTTAAAAAAAACGAACTTTTACTTAGTCAACTTGGTGAAAATGAAGGAACTGATTATCACGCTAATGATTCATGTTTGACACAACATGTTGAAAAGTCAGTTTATTAATAGAATGGACTCTTTTCAGACAGTTTTTAAATCAAAGTAGAGCATGGAGACTACTGTTAAAAGTTATAAATGACATACATCGAAAGTAGGGCTGAACGATTTGGCCAAAAATCAAAATTGCGAATTTTTAAAATAAAATTCAAATTGTGATTTTATTCTGGCTTTCTTTCTAATGGCAAAACCACCTTAGTGGTCATCTGGTGCCTCTCTAATTTAAAAATATTTTATTTTTTTATTGTGATTGGAAATGCAATTAATGGCCCAGCCCCAATTAAAATCCACTTTTTTGTTGCTGCTTTTCAGTGATATAGATGAATAAACTGAAAAGCAGATAATATTATCTGCAACTGTGTAAAACTGGATCACAAGTAAAGTTCTGCAAGGCTCTATTCCAAAGTCACTATTATTCACTACTGATTTGCTCAACAAATATTAGATTAAGATTTAATCATTTCTGACAACTTTATATTTCTCTGTTAATACACTTTCTGACCACAGCGCATTAAAGTCAGTTGATTAGCGAGTGCTTTATCTCAGTAAGTGGATGGGACACATTTTCCCTATAAAATGGCTTAAACAATTGTTCTCATTCCTTAAAAAGAAAAGAGATCAGTGTGCTGTTATGGGCGTATACCTAAATGTTACTGTAGCATCCATAAAGGCCTGTTAGCAAATACTACTTTCTAAAAAAATTTCCCTGAATAAAAGGTTTCACATCAAAATAGGCACCAGAAAAAGGTATCCAAGGTTTCATTATTACAGGGTTAGATAATTAAGATCATGTCTTTGCGGCTCCAGCTCATCCTTATTAACAGTTATACCAGTCGCAAATTAGGGCACTGGCCCTTTGTTTATTATACTAAATAGTTTTGTATGTTGATGATTAAATCATTCTGACAAAAATGAAAATGACAAATTTTCATAATTTGTCTGAGAGAGAAGTTTTCCTTTTACATGAAGTTTAGTTACACTTTAACACATTATTTGCAGCCTGATGTTTTTGCAACCAAAGTTAATCCTTACATATTTGCCATTAAAGCATCAGGTTTCTGTTATGAATGATCTTCATTCTTAGAAATGTTTGTATTATTTTTATTTTCTCTGATTACTCTTTAAAAGCTATAACTAAAAAAAACTTTATTTACATTAGGAGCAGAGAGAGCAGAATCTAACTTGTATGGAAGTGAACTCATTTTAAAACAGGGATTTTGTGTTATGGTATTATTAAAACAAAACGATACCAGAGACATTTAAGTTCCTTAGGAGGATATCTTAGCAGTTACATTGGTTAGCACCAGTTACTGGGAAAACCACTTTTTCTCTGTAAGCCTGATGTCCTTAACTTAATGCTGAGATTTCCAAAAAGCTTCTGAAGTTTCCAAATGTAACATGTTTCGCACAAGTTGAGAGCTCAAAATGATAAATAAGTGCCTTATAGTGCAGATTTGTTAGCCTTCTTGTTATCTCCTGTCTCACAGGTTGCTGTAAAAATGATATGTCTTTTTATAATTTCACACATCTTTTGGTCATCTTCTACTTAGATTTTCCTTTTCTTTTTAAGATAATATACTTCTAGATCAAGATATGAAAGAAAAGAAGGGTAGTCTAGATTTTTTTTCCCTGCCTGTGTATTATTATTAAAAAAATTTTTTGGTCAAGGCCAGTTAAATTTAAAAGCCGGCAATTTTTGGTCCCCATCTAACTATTCAGTTCTTTGTGCATATTTTAATATTCTGTACAACTCCAAATGTTACATAAGCAACATTGATATTTTAGACTAATGAAACTGGTAACTGTCCAGTCCCATCAGCAGGACATTTGTGGTGCCATTAAGCCTCATTCTGCGATAATAAGACTACCAGCCTCCATTACAACAGTTTTGTAGGGGATGCTAGACCCTCCCAAGGGTTAAAGAACAGCATGGAACTGATGCTTTTTCGAGCATTTCCAAATAATTTTTGATAATTTTGCTTCGCCCAGTTAACAGGTTACAAGTCATGTACATGTGCTCCCTTTGATTAAATATCCTGCATCCGTTCTCCATTTCCAAAAGGGAAACATATGAGGAACAAAGTTCAACTCTTAATTATTCATTTGTAGTTGAAATGCAGCATCCTGATTAGATTATTAAAAAACATTTTTTTTTGTTTAATTTTGCTTTCTCCATAGCTGCCCTCTTTATCGTGCAGTGGCTGTTTGACGAGGAGCAGCTGAGAGTGGAAAATATCTACATGGGAGGTCAGAGTCTGTCTGAGGAGCAGTGGCAGTACATCCAGAATCTGGGCGTGGAGATTAAAAACTCCCTGAGAGATGTGAGGTAGGTTTTGCAAACGGCACTCTCCTGTTTACAGCTTTAATTGCTTAACACAAGATTTACTTTTAACATTTAGTGAATATCAATGTTCTTTTCTTTTGGTTCAGTGCGGTATTTGCTCCATCTTGCCTTTCACACACACTCATCACAAAAAGGTAAGAATTGACATTAAAAAATGTGTCAGGGCAGCACAGAGTACAGTAAAGTGGAAGGAATGTGATGCAATATTTTCATTTTCTTTTTTTTTTTTTTTTTTTTTTTTTTACTAATAGCAGATCTTTTTATCTTCTACTGTATTGCTCCTTCTGTTTTTAGAAAATTCTGCACCAATGTCAGTTGTGAGTTAGTTGGTGAAACATTGGTCTTCCTGTTAGTTGAAATCCTTTTTAACCTTTAACATCTTTATGTATATGATTGCATTCAGTTTTATCAAAACTTTGTTTTTTTCTACTGAAAAAGAAAAAACATAAACACTACAGCTTTATGCTGCCACTACTATTATATTGACAACAGAGACAGTTTTTTCAGGGTGACTGACCATGTTCGTTTTCCACCACACATGCTATTTTTGGACCTTATAATAAAATTTTTGATTTTTCTCTTCAGTACCTCCTTCCATGTTAGAGCTGCCTCTGTTATACACCTAACTCTATTTTAGATTTATTTTAATGGGTTAAAAATATTACCAGTCATCCATAAAGGTCAGCATTTTAAAGTGAACAAATACTAGTTTTCCTCATAACTGAGGTGTTGACATTTGCACCTTTTCCAGAGTGTCTAAGGTGCTGTTTCTCTGATAAACATTATCTGATGATTAGCATTTATAACTTAATATTCCCATTATTTAAGAGATGTTCATTGAGATTTTTTTTTAATGGCCGGAATGTTTGTAAACTTTTTGGAATTTTATCCTTCATTGGTCTGGTGTATCTTTAGTCGTTGTTATGGTGTTTGTGGTTTAATCTTCTAAAGAAAAAAATAATAAAACATTTGTGAGGAACTTTGCAGAACAGTCTTCAGAAAAATATCATGTTTTCAGTTAGGCTATTTCTGAACCCAGCTTATTCTTATAGAGAAAATGTTCCGGTAGATGTATTTTAGTAAAGATGGCTAAATCCATGATGCACTCCGCACTTTTCTGATATTTATTTGTTAAAGAGTTAATAATCATGTACATGTAAAAATATAAATAATTTCTAGGGGTATCAACATACTGTATTTGCAAAGTGGCATGTTTTCATGGTGCAGCCAAATTAGTTAAAATCTTGCAATTGTACCGTGACTTTGGTGTGACAGATCATCTACTTGTTTTGATTTATCTTTTCATTTTTCTCTCAGGTTTTTATTTCTCTATCATTCACAACTTATTTGTCTCTTCTGTAGCAACTGGATGAGTTTCCAAGTCAAGGGAACATCTCTGCCACGGGCCCTCCACTGTTGGGACAGAAGTCTGGAGGCAGTTCGTAACAACAGAACCCCAGCTAAAGGATGCCCTTTCCACCTGGTGGACTCCTGTCAGTGGCCCCAGTGTAACCCCACCTGTCCAGCTTTGGTTGATCAGGCCACCCAGCAGGAGCTTACGTTGCTCCAGATGTTAGTCGCCATGGGCCTTAACCCTCAGAGGCTTGGCTTAGATTCCGAACTAGAAGAAGATTCTATGGGAAGGATCGTCAGTAATGGTGGCTAAAAGGAGTCAAGAGAAGACATGGAGAAAGTCTTTAGAACTTTATGTAACTGTGGAAATCCATATATATATATATATATATATATATATATATATATATATATATATATATATATATATATATATATATATATATATATATATATATATATATATATATATATATATATATACACATATATATGTGTTTATGTGTGTGTGGGTGTGTGTGTAATGAGATCTAATGTTTTCCATGCATGCAAAAACAATAGTGATGGTTTACTGTGAAATCACCTCTCTATGGTATTTAGTCATTTGTTTTTTTGTTTATTTTAATCTATAAAGTAAACTGTTAAAAATGTGGACGCTGTGGTGATTCACCATTAAGTTGCATTCGCTGAGTCATGCAAATGTAAATTAAAAGCTTTTACAATCTTCATCATTTATGGTTGTCAATTGTTTATAATTTTTCATTACATGTATGCCCATAGCCTTTATTTCCAAATCACTTTTTTGGTAAATGTACAAGTTAATTATAATAATAATGATAATAATAAAAGTATTGTCCTGACAATGTGAATACTCTTCTTTTTTTCACCATCTTTACATAAAAAAAAGATGAGCATGTGGAACATAATGCAAGATGTATTTATTGTTGAATTATTGTTGAAACCTGCCCCCCAAAAATCTAAGTTTTACTTAATTTATCATGCACAAGGGATAACATAATCTCCCAGGAGGGCAATAGACTTAGACTTAGACTTGACTTTATTAATCCCTTGGGATTACTCCCTTCGGGAAATTGTATTTCCAGTAGCAGGAAAAATTGCACATACAAGAAAATAGAGGATGTTTAGACACAGTATATACAATAGAAAAATAAAATCAATTAAATAAGGTGCAGGAAGATGTATTGGGGGATGAGGATAGACAAATAAATACAGAGGGCTATAGCAAAAACAATGACTTAAATTAACAGTTATGTAGTGTATTGCACTTGAATGGTTGAGAAAAAAAGAGTGTCCAGATTATAAAAACCAAAGCGAGTATCTACAACTCCTTCACTTCTGTTCTCTTAACTCTATTTCCTACTCCCCCCCAGAGAGGAGTTATAGAGCTTGATGGCATGAGGGACAAAGGAGTTCCTGAGTCTGTTGGTCCTACATTTGGGAAGGAGCAGCCTCTCACTGAACAGGCTCCTCTGGTTGCTGATGACGGTGTGCAGGGGATGACTGACATTGTCAATAATGTCCAGCAGTTTGTCCAGTGTCCTCCTCTCTGCTACCGTCACCAGTGAGTCCAGTTTCATGCCGACCACAGAGCCGGCCCGCCTGATCAGTTTATCCAGCCTGGAGGTGTCCTTCTTAGATGTGCTGCCCCCCCAGCACACCACAGTGTAAAAAAGGACGCTGGCAACCACAGACTGGTAGAACATCCACAGCAGTTTGCTGCAGATGTTAAAAGATCTAATAGATATAGATTAGATTATAGAATATAGATTTAATCTATTAAGCTTTAAAGACAAATAGTATAAACTCCAATAAATGCAAACTGGTCTCTGACATGAGTGTAATTCAAATATAATACTTTTACCATATTCGAACAGTAATATTGTTTTTGTAGGGTAACTGACTGTTTAGCAAATTCAGACAGCCTAATTTGCCCCCTGAAAACAAACAAACGGATAAAACTACCAGCCAGGATTTCATTCTAGAAAGTAATGAAATATAAATCAGAAATGTAAGTTTTGATTTATATTTGATCAAGCTAAGACTATCGTGACCGGTATTTAAAAGGTATGTTTAATTAAACATTTTGTCCTCTAGGGGGCGGTGTCTTGAAATCATTGCATACTTTCTAAATGTATTTGATCACATTTTGAAGATCGATTAAAATGTAAAATATTTTTTTCCGTGCGCTTCTGATTTTTATATTCTCTTTGTTTATTTTTTTCCTTACCCTTAACTTATTTAGGTCGGGGGGAGTTTTATGACAATCTCATCTTTAATATGGATTGGATTCACTTCCCATAATGCACCGCCGTTTCTTTTTACTTCCTCTTTCCGCCATATTGCAGAACCGGTAAGATGTCTTTTTACGCTCTCAGTCACAATCCTTAAAGAATCTAAGTCATCTGCCTTATATGTATTCACAAAATCCTCCCTTTTTATCAAGAAAGCACACAGAAGTAATTCCTGGCCATTATCGTCAACGTTAACTAATCCATTGTCGGACATTTATCTAGTCAAAATGCCTCTCCGGTTCGGCCCTGGGACTGTGCGTTCAACCCGTCTAAATAGTCACTTGTGTTCCTACTAGTCTGGTAGTAATTATTTAGTGAAGAGAAAGCGTTTAAACCCATCGTAAATGTTGCTTTTTGACACGCTTCATATTTTCTTTGGACTTGTAGCAAAGCTATGGGGTGGGAATGCCTGTCGGTAAGCGAAGGAGGCTAAAGTAGTTAGCATGTTGAAGCTTATAGTGGACCATGCTTTGAAGCAGGCGCATACCCGACGTTTTTGCCTGTATATTGTGTTTGACGAACGAATTCTAATTAAATAGTGTAAAGACGCTTAAAGTTCGTTTTTTTGGCTGGACTTGGGCAACCTAAGAGCTAAGGTTGTCTTGTTGACCTGCGTTATGGCTACATTCAACTTAAAATGTTTCTTGTCTGTGTTTGCAGGCACCATGGTGCGCATGAACGTTCTGGCTGATGCTCTGAAAAGCATCAACAATGCCGAGAAGCGTGGGAAACGCCAGGTCCTCATCAGGCCCTGCTCCAAGGTTATTGTGCGCTTTCTAACCGTCATGATGAAACACGGTAAGCGGCGAGCAGGAGTTGGAGAATGGATGTGCTCAAAGAGAAAGGAATGGTGGAGACTGGTGTGGGCTGAGTGCTATGAATTGTTTTCTCTAATGTCCAGGTTACATTGGTGAGTTTGAGATCATCGATGACCACAGAGCCGGGAAAATCGTTGTTAATCTCACAGGCAGGCTGAACAAGGTACATTAATATCCTTAAAGGTTATGACATATTCACAACTATGTTATCAATGTTTAATATGTTAAGAAAAGTACTTCTAAATTGTCACGTGTTCATATTTGTGAACAATATATTGGTCTATTTTAACTCTGCTCTAGTGTATCACTTCTTTGTATTGCAGGGATAAAAGTAAAATAAACATTTTTTTTCTCATTTGTTTTAGTGTGGTGTGATTAGTCCACGTTTTGATCTTCAGCTCAAGGATCTGGAGAAGTGGCAGAACAACCTGCTGCCTTCAAGACAGTTCGGGTGAGAATAATTTTCAGTAAATCTTTTTTAGCAGTGTTATCTGTATGGCTGGACGCTACACTTGATCTGGTCCCCACCAAGTTAAAATTTAGGCTTCTATACTGTATTCGTCTGTGTTCAGCACTTAAGCTGGTTACACTGAAAGTTGTCGGAATTGCACTGAAATTAGGATGATGCACACTTTTAAAAATTTATATATAAAAAAAACTACCTCTTTATTTGCATACATATGTAAGAAAACTTAAACAAGCGTACTGCTCTACCAGCAGCCAGCCTGCTTAAAAGGTGCTGGTGAGGTGTCCAGGTTTCAAAGGGGTGGTCTGAAAGATATTATTGTTTTGTTTCCCCCAGTAAAATGCAGCATTACTGTGGGTGGATCAGAGCAATGTCTCTGGGTCTGTTTGGCACATAAATCAGTTAAGTGCATTTTAATGGTCGATAGAAACATCACATCTAACATAGAGAAAGGTTTAAAGAAAAGGTGTGGGCTTACTTTGCAAAGACACACAAAAAGCCTATATGCTCAAGCGTCATACTAAAAATAAAAAAAAAGTTCTGAACTCTTAAAAAAAAAAAAAAAAACAATGGGCCTTTTTAAAGTCGGGTTCTGACAATGTTCCCTGTTAGGTTTAGTTTTTATGATGTGCAGACCGTTTTCTGTTTTGGGCTCTTGAGCTTTGGGTGCTGGATAGACTGATGGAAGCTCTTGCAGCTATCTTGAGACAGTAATTTTAGAACGATTGCTGATTTCACTTTAAAATCGAAACTTGCCCAAAAAATTGGTTTTTATGTTCCCGTGGGGGAAAAGGAATTTTCTTTAGAGGGAGCTGGAAACTTCCCAAATATAGTGACCAAGTTGCTAATTTGGCAAGACTGGGCTGTAGTCTCCAGTTTTCCTTCTCTACAGACAGCAGTACAGCGGCAGCGTAGCCACCAGTTAGCTTCATAAACTAGCCGGCTTTGCAGCAAGACTGGACCCAAATGTGTTTGGTATTTCAAAATAAAGTGAATAGTCACACTAAATTTGAAGACAATTTAAACTTTTATTAGAAGAAGTGTGCAAATATACAGCATACTTGTTTGAGTTTGTAATGTAACAAAATTTGGAATAAATAAAGACTATTTTATTTTTCTTTTGAACCTTAGATATTGTCTCAAGTTTGTGGGGTTTATGCCTCACTGAGCTTAATTTGGTGCCTTTTTTTTTTTTTTTACTTGGCCAGCAAACTATTAAAATCTCTGCGATATGACTGTCATGGTTAAATGTGTACAATTTAAAAATTTATACTTTGGCATCCCAAACCTGGACACAACACAGGGCTCTGTGGGATTATTTTATTTTTTTCTAGTTCTCTAAATAGATCTGATTTTCTGTCGAAAATAAAAATAAATGTAAATCTCTTTATTGTCCCACAATGGTGGAAATTCATTCTCTGCATGTAACCCATCCCCTAGGGGGGCAGTGCCACCATTGTGTGGCGCCCGGGGAGCAATCAAAGGTTAACGTTAAGTCTTAATTTATATATTGCATACAGGATTAGATTTCCTGCTTAGATTTGTTAGGATGGGTTGAGAAAAAAGCAGAGTAATAGATGAATAGAATAAATGCCGCCTAACGTTTCCAGACAGATTAAACCAAAGGAAGCCTGAAGTAGTCCTAAAAACCATCTGTGATATGTATAGATTTAATTTACAATTTGATCATGTGGTTGGCAGGAGTAATAATTTCTACTTGCATGTAATTCATTAGTTTATAGACAGTTTTGGCAATGCATGTAATCCTATAATACACTGCATTAACTCCTTAGTTCCTACTACC